TTTGCATTGACCAGGTCTTCTAGATGACTACTTAACATGCAAATATGATAACTATTCCCACCGAGAGCAAAATGAGATGGATTGTTTTAATAACAGTAGCTAACATGTTTATCACTGACCATGTTCCAGGCTTTATATACCTTCATAGTTCATAGCAACCCCACATATAGGTAGTAAATGAAGCAAAGCAAAATTAAGCTCTTTTCTCAAAGTCTCTCAGCTGGTGAGAGCCAGAGAGTACAGATCTAGGTCTGCCTGCAAAGCCAGGATCTCTCTGTACTATGCTGGTTAAAGATGACCAAAACAATTAAGCCCTTATAAAATATTTGAAAGCATGTGGAACTCTCCTTTTCTGGAAATTGTTATGTCTGTCTTAGTACTTCAAGCATAAACATTGTATTATGGGCATAACATTGGACATTGGACATAAACTTGGACAGTATTTGAGGATGGGTTTTATAAGATGACCTAGGAGAAAAAACTTTTTAAACAATGAGAACCATCTTTTCTCCTAGGAAAATATTTTCCTTTTTTAAACATTTTTAAAATTTTTTAAGTACTATGAATATATAATAGTTGTACACATTTATGGGAGGAAAATATCTTGTTGATTCTAGAATACTTATTATTCTAAGATAGGATATAAGAGGATACTGACTGGCTGTGTTCTTACTGAAGTGTATGAAATATTTGCAAATACTGGGAGAAATGTGATGTGGGAGTAAAGTTTGAATTTTTCAAACTGTTTAAATATTTAGAAAACGAACTTATTTATTTGGAAAAAAGCTTGATTTTTAAATTCACCTAGAGACAAACAATATGCAAGGCCCATTTTCCTCTCTTATCCACACCTTTTGAAAATCATTTGTTAATAAAACAGATTGACAACAAAGCATATCATGATGAATGTTCAAAACATTGGGGGCAAAGAAGGTTCTAAAAATTTCCTCCAGGGAAGAAAAAACAGGCTATCTCCATAGAATCAAGAATCAGAATGGCTTTGGACTTCTCAACAGCAAACTAGGAAACTACAAGACAATGGATCAACACCTTTAAAATTCTGAGGAAATTTTCCAGCCTAGTATTCTATACTCAGCTAAACTAGCAATCAAGTGTGAGGGCAAAACAAAGATATTTTCAGACTTGCAAGGTCTCAAAAAGTTGACCTTTCATGTACCTTTTTTTCAGAAGAAGATGGTCTTCCCAATGAAGGAAGTACACCAAGAAAGAGGAAGACATAAAATCCAGGAAAGAGGTCATACAGGAAACAGGTCATTGGGGGAGGGCAGGAAAATCTCTAGAGTAAAGATGACAGCAGATCCCAGGTTATAGATGTGCAGCGGGCTTACAGAGCAATCATGTAGATTGGAGTAAATCTTCAGAAGAGATACCTCTGAGAAGAAAGAACCAATAGAATTCCAGATGTGTTTGGCCCTATAGAATGTAGACTTAATGCAACTGGAGGAAGTTTGGAGATGAGTAATTTTAAGCATATAAGAAACTGAGAAGATGAAAATAATGACTTTAGGAAAATAGGTAGTGCAAAAAATGGAAAACAATCTTTGTATAACTCATGCCTCAGATGCAAATAGTCATAGTTGTATTAACACTGGATATTGATCTAACAAAAATTGTGATATAACATTAATGAGAGGATGAGAAAAAAGGAAGTATGCATGTATATGGTAGTGGAGATTGGGCAAAAAAAAAAAAGAGTAAACCCTCATATTTTTGGTGGGAACCCAATGGATAACACTAAAGGAAAACAAGACACAGAGATAGAAGCATGTTATTTAGAGATAAGGAGGTGATTACCAAAAGAAACAGCTAAAATAATTCAAAATGGCTGACTCTTGAGACAAAGAGTGAAAGGTGGCAGGCATGGCACTGTTGTGATTTTATAAGAACCCTTGTTTTTATAGGAGAACTACCGACTCTTAATTCTGTGTATGTCCAGCTTTGATAAAAATGAAAATTAAACTTTAAAAAAGGAAAAGTGAGGGGCAAACCCAAGTAAGACAAGGAGGGGTGTACCTCTCATTATAGTGAAACTCAAAAGAGAATACTCAAAAATTAATACAGAATGAGGAATTAAGATTAACCTCAAGTATATTTTCCTAAAGTCTTTAAAAGGAGAAAGTCATGAAATACGATGTCCCTTTGTCTTTCTTTCCACACACCCTCAGACTCCGGTCCAGTGTTTGTGTGTACCCTCTGACCTCTCCTTGCACTTGGCTTCTACTTAGATAGGATGACTAGAAAATGTGGAGAGCCAAGTTTGAACTGCATCACCTAACCCAGTCTCTTAATTCTCTAGCGGTGAATCTGGAGAATTCTCTTGGCTCCTCATCTGATTCTTAGAAGATGTTATTTCCAGCCACCTTGCCCTTTTCCCCTACACTACTGACTTCCTGATCCAGATTCCTCTGTCCATCCCCCTGGCTCTGGCTCATTCCTTACCCTGACCCTGCTATCTATATTTGCTTTGACTGTCCTATGCATTTCCTCAATCTATTTCTTAATTCCTGGCTTCCACCTCCTTATCAGAACTTGGCTAAATCCACTTTGAAACACTGAGGCGGATGGGACTGCCTGGGAGGCATTTGGAGAATCTGCAGCTCTGTTCATACCTCCTTGTTGAGAGCCGGAATAGTAGCTGAGAGTGTATGTGGGAAGAGAGAGAGAGAGAGTTTTGGGAGAAGAGGGCACAGTCGGTCATCTTGGACCCAGGGATGCTGGGTCCCTAGGAATGCTAACATGTATCCTGGTATATTCTTAATACGTATTCTTCATTCTCTCTTAGAAGCTGTTCTAAAATTTTAAACCCAGAGGCATCTTTCCAGCTTCCTCACATGAGCTACATTTTGACCTCTTTAGAGGCTAAGGTGAGACCTCAGTCTTGCTCATGGTGATTTTACATGGAGTGACATCTGAGTCACTTTTCAGCTGCACTCCACACCAGTCGTCCCAGCCCTGCAGTTTATGGGCTAACTCCTGTTGTCTTTCAACATATGGAGCACTATTAGATAGTGTGTGAGTTTGGGTCTTGTCAGGGAGTCTGATTAAGCCACAGTCAGAGACAGAAGTCCTAAGTGTGAAATGTAACAGGCGTTCCCAACACAGCTTGATCTGCTAGTTGCTGGAGGTGGCTGGTGCATTTCTGTTGGGGGGTAGGGAGCTTGCTAACAAAGCAAACACATTTTTTCCTATCGCGGGCTAGGTCTATGGCGGTAACATTTGGCAAGTTGAGTAACAGGGAGCATAGATAACTGTGAACAGATGGGCAACTATTAAAAGATTGGAGGGGCTTTCATCATTTCTCAAATGGCCTTCACCCACCTACAGCATGCCCGGTTCCCTTGCAAGAGGATTACGTAAAGGATTCAATTAAATTTCTTCTTTCTTTCTTTCTTTTTTTTTTTTTTCTTCAATTGCAATGGAAGCAAAAGCTCTGACGTGAAGAGGAAAAGAATAGATGAGAAACTTCTAATTTTGAATCCCCTTAGGATTAGATGCTGATTTCAGCTGTGCAGAGAACACTGCCCCATATTTTGAAAGAGTAACTGCTGCCAGTTTCAGCAGAGACGACTTTCCAAAATAGACAGCGAACTCCACCATCCACAGCTGATGGCCATCTGACATTCGGACACAGAATGACAGAGCTGTACGCTATAAGCATAACCTTGATAAGCGTATAAGTATAACGTTGCTTTTTAAAAACAGCAGTGGCACATCGTCATTGTATTTAAGCTCGAAACGAATGGAATACAAAACACAAAGGAGAAATGCATTGGCTGGTGCCCAGCAGAAATATAAGATATTCACACATCTGAGAGCAGTGACATTTACTCATATTCTAGGGCAGGAGCGTCTCTGATTCAGAAGCCTGCTGGTCCTCTTTCGCTCAGAACTATGCTTGGAAAGTTCTTAAGAGTTGAGAAGAACTCCGGGCACTGATTAAGATGAGGCATGGCCAGAGTTATGGCGGGTCTCATGAACCTGGCCAAATTAGACTGAGTTCCATTCCTCAAAGGTTGTCTTAATGACACGCAAATTCAAAGGTCAGTAATTTTGAGGCATTGACCCTACCCACACTCATTTAATTATCTCTTTGGAAGCAGGAAGGACGGATACTCCGCCTCATTTTTATTTTCAGTCCTTTAGTCAGTTTCGATCGTTATTTATCCCAGCCAAGAGTATGGGGTCACTGAAGATCCCCGTCTCTAAAAGTCACCCCAGCCTCAAGACTAAATTTTGCCTATAGATAACCACCAGCGTTACAAAAGGAAAATAACCATTTTTAACATGATACATTCAAATCCCACCATTCAGAATAATTACCATTTAAAATAATTTGGCAACAGAAACACCGAAACAAACGAACAAGAAGCGGAAAACAATTAGCTCTTGGAGGTGACAGCCTCATCGCCTGCTCAATGATGTGCAGTTTCATAAACTCATAGTTCTCCTGAGCTCGGCTGTTTGGTTTCATGTAATTGAGTAAACAAGGATTATTAGAAGGTTTAGTGTCCCCTGGAGAATTATACTTAAACAGAAAGAATTATTGGAAATAGTTAAAATGTGCTGCCACCATTTAGCAGAACGAGAGTTGGCAATATTAATTTTGAGATATATGCTCTCAGCCTTGTAAATAAGTGCTGTGCATAGATTGTGTCTTATAACAAGGAAGCGTCCATCCAAGCAGGCACTGGAGAGCCATGCAAAAGGAGTGAATATTTGTGTATTGCATATTGGGCTTGTAAAAATCACTGAATTGCATAAAAAATAAGCTCCACATAATTTGCTGTTATTTTTGTTCCAAGTTTTAGGTTCTTTTGAATTTCACGTGTTGTCCTGATGTGCAAAAATACTCATTAGGTAATTAAAGCCATTCCGAGTGATTTTTATTTTCCTCCTTGCTGCCGTTAAGTTTCATGGTGCTAGTTTTCTAGTTCTCCCTGGTGCTCACGCGGGCTCCGCTTATGCCTGTGCTTTTCTAGAATGGCAGACATGGAGGAGCTGGTGCAAAGACTGGAGCGAGCCGTCAGCCGCCTCGAGGTGCTGTCTGCAGAGTCCCACAGGCGCCCTGGGGACTGCGGGGAAGTCAACGGTGTCATTGGAGGTAGGGCCACACACTGTTGTCATTCTTGGTCTGAATTTGTTCCAGTCATTTAGTTCTCAAGAAATTTTTCTGTCTACTTCCTTCAACTTCCCTACTCCTTCCTCTACATGTTGACCATGGCATTAACCAGAGGTAAACAATCTCTGAAAAAGAGAAAGGAAGAAAACCTTTCAACCCTTAATTCACAAAAATTACCAATATCTGTGCCTCTTGAGAGCATAAATCCTTGTGCCACATGTCATTATTCGTGGTGCTTCTGCTGCTATTCCGCACTCAATGACTAAATATATTATTGACGTAATTATCGAAAAAGAAACTAATCTTCCCATTTAGAATGTAAATCGGAAGGAATTATCATGATGTAGATTTTAAGTTTAGAGAGAACAAGTCATTAAATTTAGGAACTGCAGTTTTGAAGGAGGCTAGCCAAATATGACATTGATGTAACAGGGCCCTGTCACCTTGTTCTACCTTTGTTCCTAACCAACTACGCTTTTAAAACTATATGCTAATACCATAATTTAAAGATAGATTTTTAAAAGTTATATGATCAAAAATAAAAAGTTAGCTATGTTTCTTTAAAAGGGTATCGTGTGTGTGGAAACTCTCCAAGCTATCTACAGTAATTTTTCTAATTCCTTCTTGTCTAAGGACATATGTAGTTTAACAAATAAAAATGTAGGACACCCAGTTAAATTTGAATTTCAGGTAAAGAACACATGTTTTATTTTTGGTATACGTTATGTCCCAAATACCGCATGGGCTGTACTGCAAGATACCCATTTATACTGAACACGTATGCATTGTCTTATCTGAAATTCAGATTTAACCAGGTGATCTGTATTTAATATGGTAACTCTCTTCTTGTCACATGTGCATTTCCTCCTTACCTGACCCATCTGAATCCTGTCAGTCTTTGGGGAGGCTGAGAAAAGCCTTGGGGAAGTGGGGGGCTCTGGAAAAAGCTTTCACCAGGACAGACCTACATTGGTGCTTCTAGAATTTCAGGCGTATTTGGAGCTGTGCCTTGTATTACATGCCATGGGACAAAAATTACTGTGTGAGCACAAATGTGCTGGCTGGTTTATTTCCCCCCTGAACATAATGAAAATTAAAATGCTTTGAATGAATTGAAAAGGGGGTGTTGTTTAAAGGAAGGCTGCCAGGAGCCTGTAGGTTTTTTCCGCACCAACTGAGACACATCTATGATTTCATTTTAAGCCTCTTTTTGTTAACTATACAGTTGGTATATGAGATTCAGTAAACCTTATTTGTAAGAAAATATTTTCACGTACTCTTCAGTAACTTTGCTTCATTCTGCTGTTGGCATCAGGTGATTAAAGACATTCTCTGAATTGCTGACCAATATAAAGCCTATACATACACAAATTAAGGTAAAATCCATTTTCCAGGAGATTGTACAGTATTGTTGAGTAAAGACAAAAAAAAAACACCCTCAATAATTTGAACCTCCCTTATTTAAAGAAGTACTAGACTGAACTTTCTATTTATTTTCTTTATAAAAAAAGAATTTTTCTGGGAAAATTAATAGGTTAAGTAGAATTGGAGGGCATATAATTAAATTATTTGTTTAATAACAAATATGTTCTCACATAACAAATCATTCCACACCAGTTATTAAAGCAATAGCTTTCTAAAACAACTTAGCCAGAAATTTATTATCTTACTTGAAATGAAGTAGGGTAATTAGTAAAATGTCTGAATGATATCCATCCTGAAAACATTTTACTAATACTAAACATCATTTCCATTTCTTCTTTTTTTTGTTTGTTTTTAAATTTTACTTAAATCTTTAAATTTTTCTATTCTTTTCTCCTTTTTTCACCTGGGGAGTGCTACCAGCGTGTAACCATTTCTTCTTAATTAGTAAGTTTAGGTAATTTTCTACATTCTGTTTTTAATAAATCTTTAAGAACAGCCTTTTGCCTTAAATATAAACATCATCATTATGACATTGTTATAACAAAAGTTAAAATTTTTTTTTATTTTAAAGAGACTTTCAGAAGGAACGCAATCTATCATAAATACATAATATGTATAGATCAAAGGACTACCCTGTTATGGTACTGGTATTATGATGTGTTTTATAATATGGGTTTTTTTCCCCCCTGAAAATCAGGTAAGTTCAGCTCAACAGTTAAGGAAATATATTTGCGTTTTTGCCACGTGACAAGCACTGTGTTAGGTGCAAGGAAATCTAAGATGAATTATGTAAAGTCCTCACCCTCCAGAATCTTTGGTCTTGATGCATTACTATGCAGGGCCACAAATGCTTTGATTAGAGGATGCTCAAAGGATGCAATCTGGGGAGAAAGACAGATCTGCCCGCAGGAGGTATGAGCAGAGCTGAGTGATGAAGGGAAAATGAAAATATTCCCTTTTATCATGGTACCTTCTGCTGTGTAGAGGTCTGTGTCACATTTCTGAAACTTCTGAGACATCCTCTGTACAGACCACTTTAAATAGTCAGCAGAGAGCCCTCAGGCCTCTTCCATAGCAACCAATAGGTTTTTCTGTTTCCAAATGGATCTATAGGGAACCTTTGGGCTTGTGCCCCTTTCCTCTCCAGATGGTGATATGCACTGTGTTTTGGACTTTAGGATAACTCAGCTTCAACAGCCTGCTCAGAAGTTAGACTGCAGGTGCAGAGAGCTGTAAATACCTGTTTCCATCATCCTTTGGACCTGGGGGAAAAAAAAGAAATAGGGAAACTTTATCCTGTAGTTTTGTGAACGTGGATGATATATTTGTACAATATGAGGAAGAGGATCCTAGGTTTGGGTTTTGGTTTTAATGGCCTGCAGTGCTCAATTGGTCAATATTATGTTTCTCAAAATTAGAGACATCAGGGACTTAGATTTTTTTTTCTGTTAATTAAAAGGCAAGAAAGAAATGTGGAGCATGCCGGTTGGGCCGTAGTCACTTCAGCTTTCACAGTAATTTGGCTTCAAACCCAACAGGTACTGGCTCGGTGGTCATTTTCACTCTGCCATGGCCCTCTCCCCTCCCCCTAGGGAGTGAAGAAGGAACAAAATGAGGGACATCAGCTTTCTTTTCCTCCTTGCCTAGTGGTCATTATTACCTTTTATTTTCCTGGGTAATCTTGGTAACTATGTTTAAGGTTGTCATAGCATATGGGCAGGTCGTTGTGGAAGAAAGGCCCCTGGCTTTAGGTGAATGGACTAGGTTCAGGTTTTGGATCTGCCTATTATTTGGTCTACACCTTTGGTCCAGGCATGAGCTCTGTTTGCATTTCCATTTTCTCATCTGTAACACTGTGATGGTGTTACTTACACCCCTGGGTTTGGAAGGAAGGAAATCCTTACATAGGTAGGAGGATGAAAACCAGGAAAACATTGAGAAGTGTCTAATAAATATTGATTGAGTGAGGGAATGACTTTGTGAACGAATTAGTGAGAATGACATTGGTGATATCAAACTTCTTCTGTATTATTTATGATAAGACAGTCCCAGCTTTTCATTATACTACCGGGGAATAACAAAACGCTCCTCTTCCAAAGGTGTGGCCCCCTCCGTGGAAGCCTTTGATAAGCTGATGAATGGTATGGTGGCCGAGTTTTTAAAGAACAGTAGGATCCTTGCTGGTGATGTGGAGACTCATGTGAGTACTTGACTCCCCTGTTCTCTGTGGAGGGTTCAAAAAGACCAACCCAGACTCTGCCAACTCTATTGCCGTGACGACATCTTTATTTATTTATTTATTTTCACCCTGGCTGGGCAGGTGGTGGCTAAAACATTCCTTTACGCATTCATCCATTTAATCATTCCTGCAATGCCTACTGGTTGAGCATGGCCTAGCACTGTTCTAGAAGCTGGGAGTACAGGGATGAACAAGGTAAACCAAGTCCTGCCCTCACAGAACTTTCACTTTCGTCTGGGGTATGAAAGCAGGGTAATGATACAGAAAGTGCTAGAAGCAGGGATACTGCTTGGGGTAGGAAGGCATGTCCAGGGAGGTGACAGCTGAACAGAGATCTGAGTCGAGAGAAGGAAAGAGCCCTTGGAGGGATGTGGGGAACGAGAGCTCCAGGCAAAGGAGACAGCAAGGCCCAGGGCAAAGATCTGCAGGCATCCTGGAACTACAGCCCGAGGGCCATATGCGGGTGTTTTTGCCCATTTGTGTTTTTTTTTACTTCAAAATAAGATATGTGCAGTGTGCATAGGAATTTGTTCATAGTTTTTTGTTTTTCTTTTAACTATAGTCCGGCCCTCCAATGGTCTGAGGGACAGTGAACTGGCCCCCTGTTTAAAAAGTTTGAGGACCCCTGAGAGAATGGAACCGGCTTGGTGTGTTCTCAGCAGAGCAGAATGCCAGGGAGCAGTGGGTGAGGGAGAGAGGTAGCAAGGGCCAGAGCACAGTGAGGGCTTCTCAGTCACAGTGAAGGGCTTGGCTCTCATTCCACATGTGACAGAGAACCCGGGGGACACTGGGCAGAGAACGCAGGGTGATTTGATGTGTGTTTTAAAAAGATCCTTGGCCGGGTGCGGTGGCTCATACCTGTATCCTAGCACTCTGGGAGGCCAAGGCAGGAGGATTGCTTGAGCTCAGGAGTTCGAAACCAGCCTGAGCAAATGCGAGACCCCATCTCTACTATAAATAGAAAGAAATTAATTGGCCAACTAAAAATATATAGAAAAAATTAGCCGGGCATGGTGGCGAGTGCCTGTAGTCCCAGCTACTCAGGAAGCTGAGGGAGGAGGATTGCTTGAGCCCAGGAGTTTGAGGCTTCTGTGAGCTAGGCTGATGCCACGGCACTATAGCCTGGGCAACAGAATGAGATTCTGTCTCAAAAAAAAAAAAAATCCTCTGGCTGAGCTGAGTCAGCAGCCACCCTTCTTCTTTCCTGAAAGTACAGCCTGAGGATGTCACTGGACACCCAGTAAGATTGCTACTCTCACAAAAACAGAAAGTCCAAGTGTTGGCGAGGATGTGAGGACATCGGAGCCCTTGTGATCTGTTGGTGGGAATGTACAATGTTGCAGTCATGGCGGAAAACAGTATGGTGGCTCCTCAAAAATCAACAGCTAGAAATACCATGTGACCCAGCAATTTCACTTCTGAATATATGTCCCCCATAATTGAAAACAGGGTCTCAAAGAGACACCCATGTTCTTAGCAGCATTATTCACAATAGCCAAGCGGTGGAAGCAACCCAAGCGTGCATGGACAGATGAACTAAGTGTGGTCTATACCTACGATAGAATATCATCCAGCCTTAAAAAGGAAGGAAATCCTGTTACGTGCTGCAGTATGGATGGACCTTGAGGACATTATGCCAAGTGAAATAGGCTAGACATAAAAAGACAAATACTGTATGATTCCACGTATATGAGGTCCCTGGGGTAGTCGAATTCATAGAGACACAAAGTAGAATGGTGGTAGTCAGGGCCTGGAGGGAGGGAGGAATAGGAAGTTGTTCAGGGGATGTGAAGTTTTTGTCTGGAAAGATAAAACAAAGTTCTGGAGATTGTACAACGGCGTGAATACACTGAATACTACAGAGATGTACACTTAAAAATGGTTAAGGTGCTAAATTTTGTGTTGTGTGTATCTTACCACAATTTTTTAAAAAGTACAGCCTAAGGAAGGGCAAAATTATAGAATTTGAGAATCTGTGGATTGGAAGAGAACTTTAAAGATATTTAAGCCAGCCTTCCAGTTTTAAACACTTCTTATACTTTAAAAAATATTAATATCATACATAATGAGTGAGATGTGCACCATCTGAGGGATGGTCACGCTGGAAACTCAGAATTGTGGAGGGAGGGAGGGAGAGGGCATTATTTGAAACCTTAAAATTTGTACCCCCATAATAGGCTGAAATAAAAAAAAGTTAAAAAAAGTATATATTAGTGTCATTCCTGAGGTTAGTCATTGTTTTCATGCATTCAGTGCAAATCTAATATAATAGCCAAACCAATTAAAATTAAAAACTTAAAAAGAAATTTACCACCAAGTTCTTCTCTTTCATTGGCTGTTGTTTCTCACAGAGGATTGAATTCCAAATCCATCTACCTATAGCTTTCTCAGCAACAAGACAATCGTGGCAAAAACCATTTTCAGTATAGAGTCACAAAAATCTGATTCTTGAGTAAAGTTGTGGTCTGGGATTAAAAAAAAAAAAAAAAAAGTAAAAAGGGATTCTCTGCCCCTCCTCTAATTAGACTCCATGTGCAACACCCAACTCCAATCTTCCAGGAGATCCGGTAACTCTGGTCATATCAGGGCTTGCAAGAGTGTAATTAAATAGGTGTTTATCTCCTCACATGGCAATATATTTATTAGTCACATCTAAGAAAAACAAAGACCCTTCTCACAACCTCCATTTTTATTAAACATTTCTCTTGAAATACCCATTGGCAAAAGCAGAGAAGCTTTGATATACGTGAGTTCCAGAAGAGTCTGTGAACTACGTCCACTTCAAATGTGTCACATGGCTCTGTCATTACTCCCTTCTTTTCCTCAGTGTTTTTGTTTACAAGAGAAACCTTGTATGCAGCAAGATAGTGGCTGAGCAGCTTAGATTCTCAGGCATGATAATTCCTGAAAGCTTACATATACAAAGGAATACTATCCCCAATACACTAAAAAAGATGCTCGAGTGATTGATGAACATTTACTTTCTTGAACACTATCACAATAATTATCGTAGCTTTATTGTTCCTATTAATTAATATTGACAGACTTCTCAGGTACGCAGTACATTATAATTCATTAGAAATATCTCAAAAATTCTAGATAGAAGCTTTTTGCAAGAGAATAATGAGTCCTATAAATAAGTACATTTAAATTTGCATTTTAAAAAACGTAGGAGTTGCATATTGTCTTCAGATAATAAACAGTCCCTTTAAATTTTTGTCAGTACAGAGTAAGTTATAAAGTGTAGCTCGATTTGTATTAAGTTTTTTTCTCCTTTCCCCTCATCACCCTGTAAACAAGATGACTAGATGAAGGAATATTCTTAACAGTGAATATGTAATGCATAAAGAAATTTATGCTTTCTACTAGTTTTTAAAAAACTTAAGAAAGGAAGGAAAAGAAAAAATAAAGGAAGGATGGATGGCAAACAAGCAAGAATGAAAGAGAAAAAGAGAGAAAGAAACACTTGTCATCCGAAAGTTTAGACTCTGGCTCTACAACACAAAGAAAAGTACAGGCAGCTATAGTCCATCTGCCCATTACTTTAATACTTTGAACAAGTAGTTTATTTTTTTCTCTCTCTCTTATAGAACCATGTGTCATTGGCATTAAGCTTGCAGCTGCTGCCTCTCACATAAGCCAGAAGTGGGGGTTGAACTTTATTCCAAGAACACACCTGTTGCCTAGAAAAAAAAAACCCTCACATACCTGATTGCTCAGGATGGAAATTTGAGAATGACACAAATGTGCATCATGTTAAATCCTGTGCCTGTGCTTAAAAGCTATTTCTCAGATACTAATAATGAATAAGGGCAGCCAAGCTATGATTTAACGTCTGTTTCGATGTGTTGGCTGCTGGTTGGGCTTAATTTACTGAACGCTCAATAGTCTATTGACAGAACAGACCACAAAAAAGGGGGAACTAATAGCTACAATTAGGAAGCTCTGCTGAACCAAAGAACATAACAGGTTTAGAAAAGATTAGATCTTGTAAAGCCTTCTTGTATGCAGCATAAACCAAAGGGCTTATTTAAATCATTCTTCAACCCAAGAACACTGACACAGCTTGCACCCCTTTTTAAAAAGGATAAACAATACATAATTTTATAATAGATGTTTAGGGTAAATAATCCTCAATATCAAAGGGAAGGATCCTCTAGAAACTGGGCCTACATAATACCAAGCCTCTGGTTGAATATCATTTATCTGTAAATGGACTAATGTGATTTTTTTTTTTTTTTGGTGATTTTTGTTTAACAAAGTTGTGCTGTTGTTATTCGTGGTGTATGGAACTAATGTCGGAACTATTTCTAAGTGATTTGACAAATAGGAAGCAACTGCGAATCACAGCTCTTCCTAACCCAAATCCTTTTTGGAGATTTATAGAATTTACACTTTAAATGTTTCTAGCAGTCTGGAACATTTATTTCCTATTCTTAATTAAAATGGATTTTTAAAATTTTTATTAATTGTTTAATAAAATGAAAGAACCACAATTTGAACAAAAAGGCAATAAATTTAACCAAACATAACACACATAAAGCATAATATGATTAAATCACATGCCATGAAATATTGTGGCCTTGAGTTCTCTGACTTTATAAAGGATGAACATCATTAGGCAATTATTACAGCCTCACTTCTGATGGGTCATGATCACTATACTAGATGTTCCTAGTCTTTACCATTTTTTAAAATCATCTACAAAATGTTTTGTTCATTTTATGCCCTGCTGGTTGGGTAATGAGTTCAGAGAGTTGCAAAGTGAGAGAGAAGTCTCTCTTCCTCTAACCAGCACTAGCAGTTTGTATTATGAAATATATTCAGATTTTAGAGCTGTCTCTACTTTTGACAGCATGACCTTGAGCTAGCCCCTTAACCTGCTCCTTAGCAAAGCGGGATGACATGGTTTCCAAGAGCCTTCTGGCTCTCACAGTCTGTGACAATGACTCAGAGGTTAT